GGAATAATCGGCGCGGCCAGCAGGGGGGGTGGATCCATATATACCGTACCGGGCGCACACGGATTGTAGTAGTCGATTGCAGCCTCAGAGACCCTCACAGTTATGCTTGCCATTGAAATCGCCATCTGGATCATTTTATCCAATCTTCATCCAGATTGTGAAGTCTTCCTCGGGTTGTTGGCTCTTCTCGCGAACTCGACAATGCTGCAGCAGAATTACTAGTGCTCGGACACACTGTTCCGTACTTGCCACAACACAACTCGGTCTGCACTCATCAGCTCCCGGCCGAGTGAGGGAGACGGGACGGAACGACGGCCGCGACAGACACCGGCGACGTCGCGCAATGCGAGTAACAAGGAGACCCGGCCTAGCCGAGACGGCTGTGCCTCGCTGCAGCGTGCTGTCCAACTGCAACCAGACAGTGAGGGACATCTGTGCAGAACCGAGCCTGCTCCTCAGAGACCCTGGCGTCAGCTGAGACTCGTGACGTGGCGCTTCGCCTGCCGCTTTCCAGAGCCACGCAACACAGCCTGCAGGAGCAGGTGATCAAATCCTTGAACTGGTCTAAAAGAAATGCTGTGAACTACCAAGACTTTATGCCACGGTCCAAATACTCAGCGATGTGTAAGGCTATGCTTTTTTTATAATAATGTTTGAATTCGCTAGCCTAGTTCCCCAGCAAGATAGTTTCCACGTAAAGGTATTATAGACATGAGGCTGTCGAGTTGTACATTTCTGCATTAGTATAATATGACTCTGAGAATGCAACAAACTAAAGGCAGCCTAGCTACCAACCTGTGAATGAGCTGAACGTATAGCAGCAGCAATACGGTATAAGCATGTGAGGGTGGAAATAATCAGTACATCAGAAGCATGCATGTATTTACTGCTACATAGCTACTCTTTTCCCCACAAACCAATACGATACAACAAGATGGCTTTCAATTGCATGTGACATGTGACACCTTAATGAGCACAGAGTCCTAATGAGTTTTTGCAACAAACTGCGAGTCACTTGAGTGCTGGGTCGGTCCAACGAGTCTGTGCATAGTCATCAATCATCTGACAGAAGCTGATGTAGTTGACGTCGTTTCTTCCTCCAACTCTCACATCAAACTTGCGGTAGAGGATCTGGAACTCCATGGCATTCACCAGTCCACCCATCTCCAGTTCACTCAGAACTCGGTGGAACTGCCAGCAAAAAGTTGCAGTGTTAGAAAATCATAAACACCATTGTTGTGATACATGTAGATCTATGAAACCTATTCATGTAGTCAATGAAACCTTTATTCACCTGTGAGCGAGTCACACTGCCAATGTGGACTCTATCGTAGTCTTCAAAGAGAGGGAATATCTGAATACGACGTACCCGTACCTGCAGTTTGGTACACAAATCATTGCACTACACGTGTGTAAAATTGTTGTTGGCCATAATGTACAACGGCCTTGTTCAATGGTACACTCTTCAAGCAAGCTCACTAATGTGCAAAGGATTAATGAACATGCCTCGGGAACAATAACTCAATTGAAGCACTGGTCATTGTCCATCTTATGTAGGTATGTATAGTTCCTCATACCCTCTCTGCCAGTCTGTGCATGGTCTTCTGCAGTGTCTGCTCTTCTCTGGACTCAGAACATACAGTTGACCCCGACTGGCGGCACAAACTGAACCACCTCGCAGTGGGCATCTTCTCCAGGTCCTTCCTGGTGAAGACCGACTCTATCTCGTCAGAGAACCTCATGTACTCCACTTGGCTAGGGTCCTTGGGTGATTGGTACCTGAAACAGTCGGCAAACGACTCTGCTCATAATCACTCTTTGCAGCGTACACATGGAGATGTGTGAACAAATTGTGTTATAGAGCTGCTCGTGTCCACATGTAACAGACATTTTCTCGAGAGCAGTGACTTCTTCTTGTCCGAGCACGAAGCCACACAAGTCCAGAGGCTCGACGGAAGGAGGTTTGCAGGGATAACGACCGAGCGAAGTTTGTCATAGTCCCTCATGAACTCCAGCACACGCACTCGTTCCTTCATTACCTGACAATTGATTATGAGCTCATGATAATAATTACTGTGGTTATGCAGTGTTTGCTTACTTTTGTCGTTGATTTTGTCTCCAGCGACAGATTCAGCATCACCTCGCACAACAACAGCAGCACAGGTGTAGTCTACGTCAGATAGTGCAAAATAGAGCATTAGGATAAGTGCAAGAGTGGTGTTATGGTAAGATAACAATCAACACAAAGGTCTTGCCACTCTGTGTGGCAACATTTTGTACACACTCACTTGTGTGTGTCTGGTAGAGAGCTGGGCAATTCTCGTCTGATACTTGTCTTCCAGTCTCTCTGTGGGCTGTAGATGCTCCAAGAATTGAAGGTTTACTGTCTCCATACCTGTAGGGAAGTGGCAGAGCCATATAAGGGGGACCTTAAAACATCCGTGTGTGTAAACAAGAACCATGGGGTATTCCCCCCCATTCTGATGTTATCTCTGCCATTGAACTGAAATGCAGCTTATGTCACCACTCAGACTACTTTACTCACCTCATTTCCCATAAGCTTTATCTTTATCAGTCCAAGATAGGAAAGACACTGTCTAAACTGACTGCATGTCACATATCATTGTGGTACCTACAGTGGACACATGATATCAAATAATGTTACACACAAGCAATTGGGTCTGCCTATATACTTGTCAAAGTCCTGGAAGGTGAGCACCCTCCTCTGTTTGACTCTCTCGCTCATCCTGTGTAGTGCCTTCTCCAATACCTCACCCTCACTTTCGCCTACACAATACACACACAAGTTCAAGTTGCATACAGTAGTGTGTGTAAGCTTACCTATGGTGGTAGAAAAGTCTACTGCTCCTGGATGAGGTAATGGGACTTCATCTGTGGGCACTGTGTAGTATGCAACCCCACATGCTACATAGTAATCATACAGGGTTTTCGATGCCCACCTTGCTCAATGTCAGAGATGAATTTCTTCCAGAGGACGTTGCCTTTGTGTTTCGGATCAGCATAGCAGCTACACAGCCCCGGGGTAGCAGATGAGCCAACTGCTGCAGGGGGCCTGTGACAGGGACATGTCAAAACCTATAAAGACATACAAATAGTGCTGAAGAAAAGAGTGTAGCCCTGAGGAATGTGTTAGCCTAGAACACACCACCCTATCTGTATCCAGGGCATCATCTGAGACTACCAGTATATACTTGTGGTTCTGAACTAATGAGATCCACGTTGCTACCTAACTTAGGCTTGTTATACAGCGGAACCTCTGATAATGACACTCTGAATTAAGGACACAATACCTCTAAATAAAGGACATGTTTTGATGTCCCAGACGTTCACTTTTCATTTTTAACCTCTGAAGAGATAAACCCACCATAATAAAGGGAACTAGAAACTGTCTGGTGTCAACGTGTCCTATTCAGAGCACTTTTAGCAGGGACATTGCACTAATGGCATCCAAATCTCCCCATGTTGTGCACATGAGGAACCCTACCTGTGCTAACTCTAGTCGCTATCCTTGGTCCTTGTTTACCCCAGGTTTGTTTGTGTAGCCATTGAGAATGTTATTTGACTAAGAACACTTCCTTGTGCATTCCTTTGGATATTTCAACTTTGAACATTTCACTTCATGGCTGTAGGTGGAGGAGGGAGGCCAGCAGAGAAGCTGTCTCCTCCATTCACCATTGTGCTAAAGAACTTTGTAGTGACTGAAACTTTGTAACAACCCTGTATACATGTATGCATGCAATTTGTTGGAGTATGTTTGTTGACCATTTAGCTAGTAGAGAAATTATTGTAGAGTTTTGTAGCATAGTGGTTAACAGAAGTGCAAAATATAAGTATACACTAGGTAGCACAGTGCTTTGTATAGTTGAGGCTTGCTGGTGCTGTGGTGGGCATCATGCGCTTTGGCAAACCACCCCGGCACCCACGCGCGCCGAGTATATATATACGCGATACCTCATGGGTTATTCCAGTGCGCTATAAAGCGGGGAGTTTTCAGTTAGTTTACCAAGGTCTGGTCGTGTATGCATAGTAGCCTGTAGAAATTTCTTGCTCCTTATCCAGCACTGCGACTCCAATGCGCTGTTCAATCGTCCTCATCATCTTTCTGCCGTTGCTGCTTCCCGCGCAGGATCCTGAGCGAATGGGACACAGGGCGTTTGCCAGTTGTTGCAACGCAAACCGTCTTCAGCCCCCGGCCCGGCTGAGGCGGCGATGGAGAGTACGCAGACTGCGGAGGCAACCGACTTTCATTTTGCAGCTTGCTGGATGTCGTCGGCTCTGGCCGCAACGACGGAGGCCGCGTGCGATTTGCAAGAAGAAGGCGATCCGAGCCCAGCTGAGATGGTGGTGCAACGCTCAAGCCTGCCTCCCATCTGTCGACCGATCCCAGCCCGCGAGCAGAGTCCTGCGATGGACGGCCGCTCTCGCAGCAACCTGGTGCCCGAGCAAGGAAGCAACCGAGTCCAGGAAGTAGTCGGCTGCTGCACATGCAAAGCGAGCAGGAGCAGCGCGGTCCTAACCGAGCCCCAGATCGTGGTGGGACTCTGCAACTGGGTATTTCCAGAGCCTCGTAATACACTGCAAGAGCAAGGAGACCCATACCCTGCTCAACTGGTCAAAATTTAATGCTGAACTTTTTTTTAACCACATATATAGCTATACTTTCGATGTTGATGTGTAAAATTGATTATATCTGTAAATGAGTATCAAATGTAATGGGTCTGCTAAATGTTAAAGTTGAGTCCCCTGAAGTTGTACAACAACGGAGGGTGTGGTGCAAATGGCAGCACTCATTTTGCATGGTAGTGTTAGTGTTTAACGTTGAGCAAAAGACAGTAGGCATAATCATTCAGGGGATCACAAACCGCCATATGTCGAGCCTATATACAACAACCACAGGAGAGGCTACCACCCCCATAAGACTGCACAGTCCATGCACGGAATATCAAGTTTATTCATGATCTGTTTCCATGACCGTCCTCATCATCTTTCTGCCGTTGCTGCTTCCCGCGCAGGATCCTGAGTGAATGGGACACAGGGCGTTTGCCAGTTGTTGCAACGCAAACCGTCTTCAGCCCCCGGCCCGGCTGAGGCGGCGATGGAGAGTACGCAGACTGCGGAGGCAACCGACTTTCATTTTGCAGCTTGCTGGATGTCGTCGGCTCTGGCCGCAACGACGGAGGCCGCGTGCGATGCAAGAAGAAGGCGATCCGAGCCCAGCTGAGATGGTGGTGCAACGCTCGAGCCTGCCTCCCATCTGTCGACCGATCCCAGCCCGCGAGCAGAGTCCTGCGATGGACGGCCGCTCTCGCAGCAACCTGGTGCCCGAGCAAGGAAGCAACCGAGTCCAGGAAGTAGTCGGCTGCTGCACATGCAAAGCGATGCAGGAGCAGCGCGGTCCTAACCGAGCCCAGATCGTGGTGGGACTCTGCAACTGGGTATTTCCAGAGCCTCGTAATACACTGCAAGAGCAAGGAGACCCATACCCTGCTCAACTGGTCAAAATTTAATGCTGAACTTTTTTTTAACCACATATATAGCTATACTTTCGATGTTGATGTGTAAAATTGATTATATCTGTAAATGAGTATCAAATGTAATGGGTCTGCTAAATGTTAAAGTTGAGTCCCCTGAAGTTGTACAACAACGGAGGGTGTGGTGCAAATGGCAGCACTCATTTTGCATGGTAGTGTTAGTGTTTAACGTTGAGCAAAAGACAGTAGGCATAATCATTCAGGGGATCACAAACCGCCATATGTCGAGCCTATATACAACAACCACAGGAGAGGCTACCACCCCCATAAGACTGCACAGTCCATGCACGGAATATCAAGTTTATTCATGATCTGTTTCCATGACCCAAATACTTAAATTAATTAATAAAACCACTGACCCACACCAAAAACTGTATACTACATACAAATGAGAGTTCAAAACTAGTCATGTTTATAAACAGTTAGTGACTGTTGTGAGTGGAGGAACATCCTCAAATATGTATGCGGAGTGAAAGGTGATCGTCACTTTGTATAACTGACCACTGTTAGGGTATGAGAGGTTTGTCATCTTCTTCTTCACCTGCCACTGAGGGGGAATTATTGATGCATGCAGCTCCAGCAGGAAGCTCGTGTTTACTCTATGACATTACACTAACACACCTACACTATCCTGAAAAGCATCTCTTATGTCTTACTAGAGGCAAGGTTCTCGGGAGTGTCTTGCTGTGAGCTGCCAAACAAAGCTGGTTCTTCAGCTGTTGCCACACGAATGTAGTTCCTCGTTGTTGCTCTGTACTTACTGCATGAGAGAGTGAGAGAGAGAGACATTTTTACCCAGGCTGTGCAAAGGTGTAACTTGCTGGAAAGTATGCCTTTATTTATCAGTCTACCGTGGCGGCCCAGTTGATAAATGTTATTAAATTTATTAGGCATGAATGAAATCACGCACGAAATTCAGGCCCCAACACTTAATTGGGGTCTATGTCTAATGTTCACAACATCTACGCAACCATATTTGGAACCTGAGCTTCCATATTATTAATGATGCATAAACTCACAGTGTGACGATGATAAACATAGCCAGGAACACTAGCGCCATCAGACAGGCCACTCCCAGTAGAGCACCAACTGCAGCCAACGGACCCTTCGATGCTACCTTCCCACTCACAGTTTGACCTGCAGAAGGAGGGTAGAAGAAACAGACACATGATCTGACTATAGTATCAGCATTCAAGAATGATAGAGATAAGAGATGAGGAGACAATATTTGTAGTTCTGAACCTGGGATTATATAGGTACAGTACATGCCATTTTACCAAATTCCTTGCTTATGCAACTTTGAATAAACAGGGAATTGCATGGAGTATACAGGAGAGGTATATAGTTCTGATCCGAGTCTGTGTCAATTGCATGCTCCCTTCCTTGTATGGGGGAGCTAGAAATGGTGCTAGATGAGAGGAGATGATCGAGGATGCATTAACCCACCAGGTTGATTGGGGGGAGGGAAGAAAGGTGGGAGGGTGTCATCGCCACAGCACGGAGCCTCGAAACGCTGGAATAATATCTCCTCTCCTCCAGTGCACACGTCTCCTGCTATCTTCCGATATCTGTGCATCATGTGGGGAAAGGGCAAAGTGGGGTGTGCAAAGCACGCAACAAAATGCAGCAATCATCATGCCATGAAACTTCATGAGACCACATTTAGTGCATTTCTCCACATTGGAGTTGCCATGGCATCAACTGACATTCCGACAGGACATTACGCAAACAACCAAAACCAGGCACAACACAGTTTACACAACACAGTGACAGTGAGAAGAGCTTTTTAGTGTTTGCAGTGTTCAGCATGCATGAATATCAACCTAAAGACAATGAATTTCATCCCAACAGCAATGATTTTTTTCCCCATATCACAACATTCCATGAACACCCTACAAACTCAGTGGGATGGTTGCTGGTAAACATTGGATGAGTGATACCTAGTATACATGCTATTGCATGTGGTAGTTATCTACTGGCCATGTAAGTCTTATTACACATGCTATTCTAGAGCACACTCACCCAGTATTGGCCATGTAGGTCTTATTCTTTCCATCGGCACAGGGATTGGGCAGTTCAATGGCATGGTCTCTCATACAGGGAGCGTAGTAGTCATACATTGGTCGAGCAAACCCATAATCACTGGTGGGGGAAATGGTAGGCATCAGTATAATTATCATGACACATTTTTAGTCATGAAGCATGGATATTCTGTCAAGAAAGCTATGTACGTATAGTTCCAGTATTGTACATTATAATACCCATGCAATCCATTGATGGTGTCAGAATCTGCCGAATCTGCTGCAAATTTTATTCATTGCAAGTGTATTTGCCATTATTCATAATCTCTCTCTCATGTGGCTGTGGGTCACACTTCAAAAAACACACAATACACATTCTTAATAAGCACAGCTACTCACCACTCGTAGTCCTCACTGGTACAGTCACAGATGTGGTAGTCAAACTCCCGGTCGTAGTCTCGTCCGTTGAGACAACAGATCTGAGGCTTTCGTCTCTCGATCGTGATGGAGCTCCCCAAAAGGCACTGACTCTCTGTTCTCTGCAGTGACAAACAATACAGTTTGTTTGGACTATTACAGTAGGAATGTGTAGAGGGATGCTTTGCAATGAATGGGAGCACAATCAAAACTGAGCTCCCCAGAATACACATGCTCTGCAGGAACAATAATTTGGCATGAAGCTTTCTGCATGAGAAACCTTTGTCGCATAGCTAAAGCAAAAGTTGAACCCTCAAGGAAGAAAAATAAACCTCAAATCATAAAATTTTCCTTCCTCAAATTTTTTTTCTTGCTGTACAGTACATTTACCTCGTCCCAAGGTCTCCAGTCATAGTAGTCTTGGTCGTCACACTGGCGGGGGAAGATGTTAGCAAAATCCACGGTAATGACGGTCCACTTGAAATTGTCCCACGAGCCTCCGTATAAACTCATGATGGTAGTGTGCTGGCCTGGCTCCGTGACCACACCGTAGACCGTGATATCAGTCTGGGGAGGGACGGAATTGAGATCTACATCAAAAAGTTGTGACCTGATCTGAGAAAAGGGCCCTTATAAGTCATTTTTCACCGATATTGAGTTTTTAGGCTTATACTGCAGATGGAGCTTTCTTTTCTTTAGGAGTGATTGGTCACATGCTTGCTTGTGAGCACCAAAAAAAAATCGGAAATGTTCCAGCATTCACAACGAGGACACTTTCGACATCTATGTATGATCCTGGCAACTCCATCAACAACGTGGTATTGATGCTGTTGGTTTAACGTTGCACTACATCGTAAACCAAAAGCATGGTCAATTACGTTAATAATACGCAACACATCTGTAACAGAAAAAATACTTCCTGCCCGGTCATGAATTACGACCACTTATCACATTTCCCAAGCCATGAATGTCCGTAGCACAATCGCATTTCCTTCCATTACCTGATACTTCCAGTTTGACTAGGTAATTGCATGCCAAGCATAGCAATATTGACGACTGTTAAGATCCATGCAGGGATTCAAATGTGCATTTTATGTACGCAGGCAAAACAATACAGCACTGTCAATAATGAAAAGCACTAAAGTGCAAACCCTGTATTGCTTCATATGTAATACAGTGGAGTCTGCGTACGGAGCTGAAGGTGAAATCCCTCCAGCTGTAGCCCTCGTTGCAGCTGTACTTGAGGACCGTGGACTGTTCCTGGTGGTAGTCTTTGGCGGCCACCATTAACCCTCCGTGATCTGCCAGGTTAACCCCCCAGCTCCCGGCGAGCGTCTGCTCCCACGTGACGCCGCCGTCGCGAGAGATGAACAGATCTGGGTTGGTACTCAGTTCAATACCAATGGTACCTGGACAGAAAGAAGGAGAAGATCACGAAACTACCCATCATTCCGATACATGCTATGATGCTAAGTACATCTCTTGCTACAAGTACTACTGTATAGACAGGCTTAATGCATGTAGTGTGGGCAAACAAACAGAGTTGAAAGGAACACAAATTCTGGTGCACCGCAATGAAGCCAAGATTTGTGTAGATTTACAGTGAAGCAATAAGGAAATTCCATACCTAATTCCATACCTAATACCATTGACCATACCAAATTGACTCTACAATACCCCACTGTGTGTTAGTATACCTCATCAGTGGAATTTGGTTGTACTTATCCTTACAACCAAATTCCACAGGCCTGCTTTGTTAAGCAATCTCCATGCACACGTTTGTGTTGAAATCCCTATCCCTGCATATAACCATGAGCCAGTTTCCCAAATGAGCATTGAAAAGCCAGAAGAGTCTGGTGTATCACTAAGTACAGTAGTGCTTAGTATATAGGGATGGGCATGGTACCTAGCATCATAGGTGTATGGGGCTATGATAGGGAGTTTTGTTCATCATCTTCTTCTTCAACCAGCATAACCAGCATGTGTTGTAATCACTTTAGCGGTATTAATATAGATGTCCCCCTACCATGAGCCACAATAATCCCAGGGGCAGACTCGGTGGAGTAGACTCCCAATCTGGCGTAGTTGGTGGAGTCCATGTGGAGGTGGAGGGAGCAGTTTGGAGGCTCACAGTTTATTGTGTCGCCATTTATGTCCTCGTCAGGAGGCAGTAACTGCAGGGGCACACCGGATGATTGGTAAGGTAACTTTTCCGAAAATTTTACGAACACAGTTGGCAGTGTGGCCACTATTACGAATATATTCATGAAAATAATATACTTCGGGATTTCAGAAGCTCTCTGAAATTTGCGTCAGTTTTGTGTCATGAACAAAATGCACTCACTCCCTCCCAGAATCCGCCATTGTCCAGTGAGATGACCGTTCTAATGGAAGAGGCCAGGTCTGACGTGTCTTCTCTCGTGTACTGGTTGGCTACCAGTGTCCCATTGAGACCCTCAATCTACAAATTGATGAGGGGGGCAGAGAGAAAGAACTCCTTGAGCCTAGTTGAATTGCGTGAAGTGCATTTTGGAATGATGGCATGTGTGAGCAATTGGCATGTGTGAGTAATTGGCATGTGTGAGCATTTGGCCTATTTATGTTGTCACTATATATACTTTGGGAGGTGTATAGCTAAACAGCTGATGAACACTTGCATGAGTGAGCAATTGGCCTTTTTGTGGCTGGCACTATAACTATTTAGGTGGGCGGTAGTAAACAGCTGATGAACAAGATATTGTGTAGTCCACAGTTCACACATCAATAGATCTGTATATACAACATAATTGCCTGGATGCTTAATGTTCATAATACCAGCTCCAGATCAATGTTGTAGTCGCTGTCAATGACAAGGTCTCGTAGAGAGAGGCTGTAGTAGACTCCGGACTCATCTGACAGGTAGAGATTGTAGAAACCTCCCGCGTGCTCCACTATCACTAGAGCTTGCACGTCGTTGATACGGATCACTAGGTAGCTGGAGAGGGAGGGAGGGAGGGAGGGAGGGAGGGAGGAGGCATGTACACAGAACAGTGTATCGCTGAAATTGTAGTTGTACTAAATGTATAGCAATTGCTGTACTACTTGTAGAACAGGGATTGGTTGCCATTGCCTTGCTGATGGCTATATAATTAGCTAACATTATATCATCCTTTAGGGGAAAAGCTAATTCATACACCATGTACACATAATTATACTAGCTATGGCTGATGAAACATACTTGCGATGTTCATCAGGTACTGGTATCATGGCCCTCTTAAACGGCTTGCGTCTGTCGCTCACATGCAGACCAATGACTCCCGTCGTCTGTCCGCTGAGCAAATATGTAGCGACCGACCAACAAGAACCCATCGTGGTCTCCGAGGTTTTTATCAAACTCGCTAGATCCCCCGGTGTACGGGTAGTCAGATACGTAGAGGTTGACTGTTTCATCCTCAATGTCAGAATTTGGATTAGGGTCCGCGGTTGTGAAATAGACCCTCCTATCGTCATCATCCCAGGCTGCATCACCCCTACACGGAACATTTTTGTTGACATATAATTGTATATATACACGTTATGTGTGCATACCATAGCCAAAATACACATGACGGAACATTATATGTATTATAAAGCATTCCCCAAACATGAGTGTATGATATCTAACATGCCTACCACTGGTAGAAGTGAACGTTTTCTTGGACTTCTTTCAGTGTCTTGCCATAGTCCTCTATCAAGTACAGCTGCAGAAAAAACACATTTTTATGTGGCTCAAACGTAGTAACCCTAACTCCACAATACAGTATTGCATTTGCTCATTACTGTTCTCTGCCTGCCTGAACTGTCAAACCTTTGGTAAAATTACCAAATTGGCAACTGAATTTTACCACATTTGATCATGTGTAAAACAGGAGACTAAAAGTAAACCCACGTGGTATGTAACTATAAACCGAGAAATGAAACTAAGGGCTATCTTCCCCACTGACTGTGTTTCTAGTTGAATCTCTCATTAGCATCCAGCCATCTCTAGTAGGATGGTAGACAACAGTTGTAGTAACGAGGGTCGGAGGGTCGAGATCTACTGTAGTAAATGTTGCTCCTTGGTCGTTGGAGTAGGATAGTTTGGACTCAGTAGAATGGACAAATATCAACTGTGTTTAGAGGGAAAGAGAGGGGAGGAAAGAGGAAGGAGGAAGAGAGGGAGAAGGATGGGAGAAAAAGAGATGGAGGAACAAGGGAGAGGGAGACTGAGTGTGGTGCTACACACCCATATACTATAGTAGGAAGTCCACCCACAGTATAATACCAAGCAGTGAAGTTTACTACCAGCCAGAGTACTTGCACTTTTACTATAGTACACACCACAAGAACAACCCACATCCACACACAGCCACCTAAATCCCATCATTCTCTATGTGCATGAAGATTGCCACTAAATAGACCTACGGTATCTCCACTCCAGTAGAAGTACTGAAAGAGAGTGGCACTGCCCACTTGTCCATTGATGTTAGTGAAGGTACTGCCATAGTTAGTTGACCTGTCAGGAATTTTAAAAAACATCTATGCTCACACATACAGTACCACATTTGCCTTTAGTTTCAGATTTCAGACTAAAGCTCACACTAATTTTGAGATATGCATGAGGTATCATGCAATGTGTGGGATAATTGTCATGTGACAGGCATAAGGTGGAAAGAAGGCACACACACCCTACATACATACATATGTGCTGCATACAGACATACCTGTACAGGTTGGAGCGATATGATATTCCATTGAGGACATCATAACTGAGCACAACAATCACCTACAAATATAAACATTTCATTATCTGTGGTAACATAACATGATCCGGTTCTGGGCATAGTTGTAGCTACTGAACTAATTTTGATTCTCTGCCTCTCTCACTCCCGTATATACTCTTACTTGACTGCTGCCTCCAGCATAGTAGATTCTGCCGTACTGATTGCCGTCGTTGAACTGATGCGTCCCGTCTATGTGCGGCAGTTGACCCGCCTGCCTTTTCCACTCCTGACGACAAACGTACAATACCAACGACCCGAGTAAAACACATTGATAGATGCTGAACGCTTAGTGTGCGGCTCACCCGGGGAGAAGGCTCGGCTCCAGCGCTAGATGAGGGGTGATGATCGAAGGCGAAGCTGACGGGATTGTCGTGAAACTTCGGCACTTCAATAATGGCTCCCCAGGACCGCTGGACTGGACAAAGAGCCAGAAGACAGGCTAGCAGGAGAGACACACTGAAACTCAGCATGATGGACTTCAGTACGAGCTAGCTAGCTAGCATCACTCTAACTCTCTGTCTTTCGCGCATGCGTGCAGC